AGTAGTCTCAACACCCAAAGACTTGAGTAAATCAGTTTTACTAGGGTTTTTGGTAGCTTATAAGCTAGGAGGAGCTAACAAATGCATTTCAAGAGCGTCAGTAAATTTTCAAGAATACGGTTCGATCGACCACAAAAAAATTACTTTGTTAGAGGATTAAACTAACCTAGAATTTCACTCTTTATTTTGTTTCATTGCCTTAGGTTAATTAATTAATTGTATAGCTCAGAGAATTAATGGTCTTTTAGATGAGAGATTGGTAGGCGGTTCAGCTTTGCAAACTCAGTTTATATAGTCTTTGTACAACTTGGGGGTGCTATCCATACACAGCTTTGTACTTCTACATACCCCTCTCAATTTTCTGTCGCCAGATCAAATGAATTGAAGAAAATCAAAGGAAAAAAAATAACAAGAGATGTATGAGAGGTACAAACGAGAGTGTGGGTAGCACCACCCTGTACATATCAGGCTGTGGAAAGAATTGATTGTGCTTGGTTTTAATCCTTGTATGAATACTTTCTTTGTGTATGAGTTAAGGTTCAAACGGGGTCTAACAATACTGATTGATGAGATCACGATTTACTTTAGACATATATAGTGAAGTAATCATATATAGTCTTTTAATAATCCAAAAAAACTCGTAAAAGGTCTTTTACAGTGTGAAATCCCCTTTTTTCCAGCATACCTGATCTGCATGACTACAAGTTTATTTTTCAAACCCTGCAATGCACCTTCTACATAGAACAGTAATATATAATGGGGTGTGATATCCACACACCCCATTTTACTTCTCATACACCTTTTTAATTTTTGGCCTTCGGATCGGATGAATTGAAGAAGATTAACGGACATAAATTATCAAGGGGTGTGTGGATACACACCCCTATATAATATATGGAAAAGAAAATATTAGTCAAGGTCTTTTTCTGATTAATAAAAAAAAAGTCAAAAGTTTTTTTTTCCCACATAAAAAATAATATGGCACGATCATAAATTTGAGTGGAAATTTTTTATTTTGGGGAGGTCGGGTGGGGTGGATGAAGATCCATATTTCCCAGCCTCCAGGGACAGATTTTCGAACATATGTGTGACTATGTCAAATAAGATATTCCCTTAAATATATGCAAATTGTAAAAATAAACATATATGATTCACATTAAGTGATGCAAAACGACAAGTGAAGAATGATTGATTATTTTTCTTGACACCCAAACGAGACAAACCTCCACTATATATAGATTATCTCCCACATGCCTACGGCCACATTTAGTTGGATGATGACCCCAACCAGTTGTGAGATTTTAAATTGTTGAGTTGCTATATAATATGCCCTCAGGCATGCACCAAGTCGTTGAGGCAAGATCCTTATACTTCTTGGACTCACCATTTGCAACTTGGACGACGTGTGGAAGCATAGACTGAATGGTACCAATCATTCGATCCCAAATATCGAAAATATTAAGATAATGATTTTTTTTTTACAATTGTTTATGTATTATGTTGTCAAACTATGTATGAATACAAAAAGACATGTAAATTCATCTAGTTTCTAACAACACAACGTGCTCAATATCCGGTAAGACATTATGTATCCTAATGAACATAAGGTGTTGTTGTCACTCTAAAAATTTATTGTGCACTTAGCTTTATATAATTAGAAAGAAAATTACATTTATGAGGAGTGCACATTAAATTTTTTGAAGTGTGAAGAACAAAACCCTAAACTATTGTTGTAAATATTGTTAATTACGTAATTCTCCGGTTTAGTCATTGTGTAATAGTCAATTTTTTTTATATAGGAAAACTTAGAAATATCCACCAAGTAAACCATAAGCATATAAATAGACATTCTAATGAAAAATACACTCTCAATCTCCATAAGGCTATGTGTGGGTAAGCTCGCATGGCCACATTGTCCGGGTGTAGGGACGCTACAAGGTGTCCCAGTTTCGGGTTGTTTTTCTAACTCAAAATGAATTCACTTTAGAGCAAAGACTTCTGTTGACTTGCCGTATACAACTTAAGAGAACCCTATCGTTGTTGGCGCAAGATATCTGGGGAAAACACCATTTTTGTGGCTGAAGCTCTGGCACTCGGGACGCCCTTGGGACTGCAAAAGGAAAGGGATACAAGAGCATGTGTGAAGGTGACTATAAATTAGTCATTGGCGCCATTAAAGGCTCCTACTCAACTCCTTTGAGGTCGAAGAACATCATCGAAGACATTAAGTGGTTGGTGACTTCTTTTGACTCTGTGTCCCGTATTCAAGTGCTTATGGAGGTAAATTTCCTGACAAATGTAGTCCCTAGCACTGATTTTAGTTTTAGTAACTTCCACATTTGGGATAGAGCCTTGCCTTCAGTGGCAAGGAAAACTTTCTTATTTGATTGTATTGGAATTGGATTTAATCATGGTCACACTATTTAATGCTTATTTTATTTTCTTGAGCAAAGAAAAAAAAGACGGGGCGTATGTGTGGTTAAGTCTGCAAGGCCACATTGTCGAGGTGCAGGGACGCTAGAAGTTGTACCAGTTTCGGGTTGTTTTTGTGTATCCTATCCATGTGGTTACTCCGACAGTCGAACCTTAGAATTTGCTCAATTTAATGTGTTTTTGTAACTCAATGTGGGCTGAGAGTAGAACTACCATGGACTTGGTTTGGGTAGCTAAACGTTAATGGGCTAATCAATTCGACCCACGAAATCTGGTGCGGTGTTGATCCATCATTAATTTAGGTAGACTATTTGGGATTTTCAAGTGTCATTAACATTTTTTGTTTTTTTTTGTTTTTGTCGAAAGAGTCATTACATAACTTATTCACGAGAGATTTTTCGTGTATTCGAAACATGTGCATATACGTCATATTTTATTATATAAATGAAGAGACGTTTGAAAATAAAAACTTTTTTTCCGCTTGTATAATAATACTAACATACAACTCCGTATTTCGGACATATTAAAAACTCTCTCTTTATTCACAACATGAAAGGCCCCATCTCCTATACCTTCCGTAGCAGATCGCACTGGAGTAGAGTTCCGCTGTACCAATCCACCCAGCTGCCAGCCTGACCTAAAGCATTCATGATTGGCATGGCTTTTGGGGTATATGAATGAAGGAAATTGCAAATTTTAAGGATCTTTATGCAGCACTAGTTCTAAGTACTTGACAGTACATTTTTGGTGGGTGATTTTAACGCATTTGTTTAGCTTGTTGTCATCCGAAAATATTCGGTTTAGAGTGCCATTAGTTTAAAAATGAGTGATAAATCTGCTTGTCTTATAAGAAAATTATGTGTCCTACCCATCACATGATTATGTTTTAAATGTTTGGACGGTCAAGCGTCTACACGTGCAAAAAATACGTGTAGCGGATGTGAGAATGCTTCATTGGATGTGTGAGCACACGAGAAATGACATAATCAAGAACGATGATATTCGAGGTAAAGTAGAAGTAACTGCAATTGAAAATATGATGAGAGAAAATAGGTTAAGGTAATTTGGACATATGAGCTGAAGACCTACAAATGCTCTGGTTAGAAAATGTTATTATGAGATAGAGGCTTAGGCAAAATGGGTAGAAAAAGACCTATAAAGACTTGGAAAAAGAATAAAAGATATAGAGTACTTGGAGCTAACGGAAACTTGAAGTAAAATCAAACGCAATGATGTTCTAGAATTCATCCAACCGATCCCACTTAGTAAAATGAAATTTTGCTGTTGTTTATGTTTAAAAAAGAAGGAAAAGACAAAAGTACAAATAGTTCATGCTCCTTACTTTTGAATCTTTTTGTCTAATATTTTCTGTGCTGTCTTTATAGAGGGCCTAACTTTCGGCCTTCCTTAGTGGCTAAACAAATCAAAACACATACAAGTCTGTATGAAGCTGAAACCAGCAGCATGGTAAGATTATTACATCATAAGCTCCAAACCCCTTGATCTGGTTGATGTTTTTGGATTGCTTCGGTAGCCAACACTTACGCTCACAAGTGCTTATGGTATAATTGTTTTCATTAGAAACACGTATAAGTTAAAAAATAAAATAAAATAAAAAAAGAATCCAAGAACATAATGAAAAATCATTTGACATGTAAAATAATTAAGTCTTAAAAGCACTTTTAACTGTTTATGCTAAACGCAATGGAAAACAGTTTTAGTTGTCAAAAAATATTTTTAGCCCTCTTAAATACAGTTGCAAGCAGCCACTACATCTAAGGTATTAAATATCGATGATATCGGTAGTTCAAAAACACGGAAATTTGGATGGAAATTTTAATATCAATAAAAATTGAATAAAAAACACAGAAATTGTAAGAAAAACTTGGAAATTTTTATTGAAACTTTGCAGGATGTTTATTTAGTTAATTATCTATTAGTTTATCATAAAAAATTGGAAGGAAATGCATTGCATGATAAATATAACTGATTTAAGTTGATTATATAACGAGCTGACAAACATTGTGAGTGTAGAAAATATGTAGTAATTAATTAAAGAAGTTTAAACACATCATAATCATTTATATATAATGAATTAGTACAATATTTTATACATTGCATGGTAAGATACATGAGTGACTTAACAAGGTCTAAAATACCAATGATATCGAAAATATCGGTAGTCCAAAAAAATATCGATAGTTCAAAAACACGGAAATTTCGATGAAAATATCAAGTTATTATGGATATCTTAGACCAACCACTCACAACTTCAACTGGTCTAACCAATCAAATAACAAAAGTGCTTATAATCAAAGCACTTTGCAGAACAAGGCCACTTCTGTTTAGGACTTTTCCACACAGTGCTTGCAAATTGAAATCAGCAACTTCAAAAGCAAAAACATTCAAACCACAAACATCTACAAGTTTCCCACCTTTAGCTCCACCCAAACCCCCTTTTACAAATACCAATGAAACAATTTGGTCCCACTCCTACCCCTCCACCAAATGTTTCTTTTCCTTTACTTGCTTTAATCAATTTCCTAATTTATTTAAACAAACAATTATCTTCATCTTCCCCCTTCATTACTCGGTTCAGCTGTTTTGCTTCTGGTTGCTTTCCAGAGATGTCAGCCCATCCACCTCCACCGCCGTCCCCAATTCCACCTTCACCGCTACCTCAACCCCCGCCCCAACGGCATAGCAGACGCCCACCCCCATCTCAAAGGCCACCGACACCAATCTCCCTCAGCCAAATCATCATATCAAAGCGTGCTGCGAATGGAGAAGCTCCAGCACCTGATGCAGAAAACCTTATCTCAAGTAAACCGACAAAGCAAATAATACTCCGGCAACCTCAACGGACAAATCCGCTTGTATGGTGCTGTGCAATTGCGTGTCTCATATTTAGTGTTGTTCTTATTTTCTTTGGAATTGCGACTTTGATACTCTTCTTAGTTGTTAAACCAAAAACTCCATCGTTTGACATCCCCAATGCAAGCCTCAACACCATCTACTTCGACTCACCGGAATATTTCAACGGCGACTTCACCTTCCTCGCAAATTTCTCCAACCCTAATCGGAAACTCGATATAAGATTTGAGTATCTGGATTTGGAGCTTTTCTTTTCTGACAGGCTCATAGCAACTCAATCTCTTGCACCTTTCACACAAAGACCTGGAGAAGGAAGGGGTGGGATCGGTTCGCTTGATATCGAGCTTGGTTTACCTTCCTGTCAATCACGCTGTGGCGCTTCAAACGCAGGTGCAGAACAATCAAGTTAACTACAATATGAGAGGAACATTTAAAGTGAGAGCCAGTCTAGGTATGATCCATTTTTCCTACTGGTTGCATAGCAGATGCCAATTACAGATGACAGGTCCGCCGAGGGGTGTTTTAGTTGCAAGAAGTTGCAAATCTAAAAGATGAAGATCCAGAAGCATTCTTTCCTGGTATCTTCCTCCTATGTTCCTAGTATGTCTACTTTGAAACCCTAAATGTGTAAAGGTCATACGAGCTATATAAATATGATACATGAGCATTCTTTTCTACAAACTTACGAAAGTCTTTTTCTTTTCTGTTTTTGTTCCGACATTCGGTTGGTTGTATCACAAATCCATTAGTAACAAAACCTACAGAAGGACACAATTTATCATCTTGAACAAATACAGTGCTAAACATATGGGACTGAAGAACAAAGGAAACCCGATAGCCTCGTCTGCAGAACGGAAAAAGAAAAGGTCTGCTGAATTGGAACTCTGTTTGAGGAACTGGAAGCACTAGACTTCTACTTGTGGAAAACTCTAACAAGAGATGTATGGAGATTCAATCCTGCAAAGATTTGCACATAACTTCTCCCTTGTTTTAACACTGACACATTATTCCGTTATGGTGCTCCATCACCGCACTACCGCTTTCATATGTTTACTTAATTAAAAGAATTCATATGAAAAGCAATGTTCGGTTCAAATTTTTACAGAAAGTTAGCTAGACAACGAATCACGACAATAGTTGGAGAATCCAGCAACAGGTTTGTGTTTGTGGGGGTTATTTTTCTAGATAGTTCCTATGTCCAAAGTGTCCTAATCAGAAATCACCTAATACACTATAACTTTTAGATCCATCAACAGTTTATATATTCAGAAAAGATATAAAGAGATTGATTTGTAGTTTAAAGAAACACCACAAGATCACAGTCCGATGTTCAATACGACTATGTACTAGACAATCAATCATGTTACGCAATGGACAGCTTGTGGCTGGAGCGTAGCCAGCAGATGAAAACTAGCACAACCTCTGTACTTTGTACTACTAGAATTTCTACCAGACAACAATACATATCAAAACTGCCTTACAAAGAGATTTAGTCTGCAAATTTAAGGTTACCATTACAATTATTGATCTCCCTAAGTGCTATATCGTTACGTTTCATTATTTGCTTTAAAAGCATATTCATTGTCATATACCAAGTCAATCAAAGTTCGAAAGAATCGCAAAGACTACTAAAATATATAGCTGGCTCGCTAGAATGTTGGCACCACTGGCGGATCCATTAAGGGGCATGGGGGTCAGCTGACCCCCCGAATTTCGATGAACGTTCATAGATAACTTAGGTGCTGACCTTCCGAACTTCGGTGAATGTCCATAGATACCTTGAGTGTTGCCCTTTTGAAGATTAGAGTTGGCTTCATATTTGCCCTTTAACTGACTTCAGCCTACCAAAACCCGATGAATGTCCGTTAATACCTTGGGTGCTGCCCCTTGCATATATTAACATATTTGTAGTATACATTTTCAAATGACTTCAGGCCTACGAAGACTTGATGAAATGACAATATGCATACTATTTGTAGTACAAAAATTTGACCTCCCTAATATTATTTCCTGGATCCGCTGGTTGGCACCATTATGTAATTCAATTATGCATTGTAAAGATTCAAGACAGCACATGTTCACATTCTAACAAATCTTATGAGCACTATGTGTACAACAGTTCTGAAAATTCAGACCAACAGCCTCATTGTACGATCATCGAAGCAATATATAAAAAAAAGGTCGTACCCAGTGCACAAGGCTCCCGCATCGAAGCAATATATAAGAACAAAAATTCAAAAAATGAACCTCTTTTACATGAGAAACCCGGAGCCGTGCCTTCACCCTCCACTCACTTCAGACGGTGTTTTCGCCACAATCGACAATGCATGTAGTCCACTTTGCAATTCTTCTTTCAACAAACCATATAAGCCTATGCCTCTTAACCAAACTCTTCCCTTCAAACTTCTTAGACACAACTCTCACATTGAAATGCGTCTCCCCATCACCACCTCCTCTAACCCCGGCATGCCCGGCATGTTGATAAGAAATGTCTTCCACTTCCAATTCCACAGGACTTAACTCTCCCATCAATTTCTCCTGAATTCTCTTCCCTCTGCTTCCCAAGTCACCAGAATCTGCCACATTTTCGCTCATTTCACTCGCTACCAGGTCCAATTGCTTAACATTTTCTCCAGAACTCAATCCAATATCCTCACCCTCAATCCCACCATCAACTCTCAAACCCGAATTCGAATTCGAATTCTTTTCCCCACCCACTTCAGAATCCACTCCAAGCTCCAAACTTTTGACACTATCTTCAATTTTCGCTGCGAAACGCTCACTCTCCCCTCCATTTTCTTCCTCCACAAGCAACTCCTTCGCCTTCCTCTGCATCAACCTCAACATATTCAAAAACCCATTATTCCTCGACGGCGTCAGGCTCTGCTGCAGACCCAGAAGCACCGCGAAATCGGGCGAAACCCGCAAAACCTCATCCACCGGGCGGCCCGATAACCCGCTAACTAGCAAAGCAGCGAGCCCCTTGGTGAGGACCGAGTCGGAATCGGCCTCGAAAAACACATTCTTGTCCGAATCAAGATACGCCCTGACCCACACCTGAGAGACGCATCCCTCCACTTTGTTCTGCTTCGTCTTGAATCGATCATCCAACGGCTTCAAATTCTTGCCGTAGAACAGAAGCTGCTCGTACTTGGCCTTGGGGACCTCTACGGACTGGAAAAGCTTGACGATTTCCTGGAGCTTCGGAGGGAGGTCCTCGACCGGCTGTAGGGACGTGGAGCTCGAAGCGGATGCGGACGGCGGCGGAGGGGAGGAGGCGGATATGGTGGGGATTCTTTGGAAAGTGATGTGCCTTTGGGGAAAAGACAGAGATGGGGGTTTTGGGGTTTTAGGGTTGAGAATTGAGGTAGGGATTTTGGTGGTGAATAATCGAAACGACGATGAGATTGAAGAAGACGACGACATTTTTGGAGGAGGAGAGCGAAGAGAGGGACCCAATGGCAGATTCAGAGATTTGAAGAAGATGGACTCAAAACTCCCCGTTTTGTCTTTTGCTAATGAGTTGGGTTGTTTTTATGTTTTCTGGGCCTTGAGTCTCATAGTACCCAAAAAATGAAAATAAGTGGAGTATATATGGTTTGATATAAATTCTCTATGCAAGACGTTCATTCTTAGTTAAGCGGCCAGGTTGACAATACTGCATATGTATTTGTCTCTAGTTTGATAACATGACATTTACAACAACAACAAATAAGCTTTATTTCATTAAATGGAGTCAGCTGTATGAATTTTATAACTCGCCACGTTCAGTTTTGCATCAAGTATTTCGTTAGCTTCAAGTACTCTATATCTTTTCTTACAGTCTCTTTTCAAGTTTTCCTAGATCTTCCTCTGCTCTTTTTGTCTTGTGTCTCCGTTTTATAATCGCATATTCTAACCAAATCATATGTAGATCTTTCATTCGCATGTTCAAACCACTTAATTGATTTTTCTATTAAATGGACGGACTGTTATCAAAATTTTACTCCTCATTTAACCTTGAATTTTCTTTTCTTGTTATGTGACTAATTTCGTAGAAAAATATGACAGATATCAAATCGTGCAGGAAATAATATGAGTACGAGCGAAAGTTGGAATCTCATGAATAATCTTGTTACTAGGATATAATCATTTGTACCATTTAAAAGGAGGCTGTTTTCTATGGAAATTTGTTAGCAAAACTTAAAAAGCTTTCCTAAGCACAATTCTAAACATCTTTCGTTTGTGCAACCTAAACATCTTCGTTGTATAGATTACGTCCAATCACAACATTATATTAGTTAAATGAACGTTATTCATTAAACTTGGAACCCCGTTCAACATTAAGAAAATAAATACTACAAGGCAGAAAAGTTCAACCATGTGCAAAACTCAAAAGTTTCAAGTTTATTTAGTTGAAGCCACGGTGTTAGTTACCGTAAACGTAAGACCTCAACCATGCACTCCAGCACAATTAAATTATAAAAAACAAAAACGAATTCAAGCAGAACAATTTTGAAGGGTTTGATGGAAAACAACTTTGAATAAACATAATAAGCAACAAAGCTTCACATCATACACTATAACAGACTAACATTATATGAAAACCAAGATCCTGGAAAAACATTCACATATTCTTGAGGACAACATCTTCATGTCCAGTTTCTTGACTGCTCTCTGGGCATCCTCCCGGTTCACAAACTCATCCAAACCAAATCTGCTGCAGCTCCAGATATAACCGCAGCAACCGTGAGTGTGAAAAAAAAGTTAGGGTTCTACCATAAATCTAATTAGTAATATGGAGGTAACCCAATTAATTATAACATGCCCTTACGATGAATTTTCAAACTTAGAATGTAGACAACACAAATCGGGCCATGTGGGGCATGGGTGGCCATTGAACTTCACATATAGAACAACCTGCTTTAATGCTATGAAAAAAGTTAAGGCTCCATTATAAAACCAATTTGACAATATGAAGAATAGCCCCATTACTTGTAAGCACATTCAAAGTCCATTTTCTTACGATGTTGGGTTAGTATGCTCTCAACAGAGTGTGCTATTGGGGCCGGTCATATCCTTGGATCATGGACGTGGCAAAATTAGCATGAGGGAAATGTGGTTGTGGTATGAGATCTTTTGTAGCACCACGAAACTATGACCTGTATGCCGTCAGTAGCAGTAGAACGAGGAAACAATTAACGTTATGTCTTTGTTGTTGTATGGCACTTCTCTTGGAGTGTGTTTGTTGCACTGATCAGTTATATATATCGGACTGGACTAACTTCAAGGTATTGAGTAATAAGTAGAGTTGATAAAATAAAATTACACTAAATATTTTGTTATTCTTGATCTTATACCGGCCATGCAGTTAAGGGCTTTAGTACCAGTTCTAGTACTTGTATCCCTTAACAAACAAGCTCTCAGAAGCCAGTCCACCAGCACTTCCTCCAGAGTACTTTCCAAGAGTGGCATCTGAGTTTGCCTTGCACCTTTTCAAGAACGTCGCCTGAGCTTTCGCAACATTCTCCTTCTTCCCACCCCAAGTCTTGAGTGTGCTTGCTTGCAAAGCTCGCCCGAACGAGAACGAAAGAGTCCATGGCTTCAACACATCCAACCTGTTCATTGCATCCAAGTTGAGTGTTGCCTCTTCCTCACTTTGTCCTCCGGACAGAAACACAATCCCCGGCACAGCTGCTGGGACTGTCCGGCGCAGTGCAGTCACTGTGCACTCGGCAATCACCTCCGGCGTAACCTGTGCAAAGATTGAAGCCATTTCAGTTTGAAGAAAAACTATGTTGATAATGCTGTATGTGCCGGTTATTTATTACCTTCCTCTCTCAATACGTCTACACGAAACTACTTTTATATGATGCGACCAACATGCATGTGCTCTATCAGAAAAGAACTTTTATGTTACAACCCTTATCGTAACTCCAATAAATATAACATGTATACGATACACTGTGTCATGCTGCCATAGTATTACGAAGTCATCTAAATCACGATTCCTACAATATTTAATATAACATTCAATGGTGAATTTTTAAACTTAGGATACAATTACTTGTGTTAATTTTATACGCACAGTAGACTCTTACATTCCACATCTTCATGTTAGTCATATATACAACAGTGTATGCAAGAAGTTCTTTGCGAGAGACATTATACATAATATATCAACACACACGTGTGTATATATATACATCTATTGTATGTAATAATTTCTTTGAGAGAGAGAGCTCAAGAGAATTTCGAGTCAATAATCAATTTTTATTTCACCTTTGGGCTATCAGAACCTGGAGTAACCATGTTGGGCTTAAGGAGTGTGCCTTCAAGAAGAACATGTTGTTCATTGAGTGCCTTGTAAACTGCTGCAAGAACCATTTCAGTAGCAGCTGCACATTTCTTAATGTCATGATCTCCATCAGTCAAAATCTCTGGCTCAACGATTGGCACTAGTCCGTTCTCCTGGCAGATAATCGCATAGCGAGCCAAACCTTGCGCATTCTGCTGGATGGACAGTTCCGAGGGCTCGGTTAGGCCTATCTTGAGCACCGCGCGCCATTTGGCAAAGCGTGCGCCCGCCTTGTAGTACTGTGCGCACCTAGCTCCCAGAGAGTCAAAGCCTTGGGTTGTTGTCTCTCCGTTTGTTCCAGCTAACTCAACGGTGCCCTTGTCGACCTTGATCCCTGAATCAAAGTGGTAAACATTGACGTTAATGAAAATACCAAAATATGGAAACTTGAAGAGAAGTGTCAAAAAAAAACTATGTTGCTTCTATTTATTGAAATTTAACTTAGACCATGCCTGGAATGACATTGTTTTCCTGGAGGATTTCGACGAAGGGTTTGCCATCAGAGCTCTTCTGGTACAAGGTCTCCTCAAAGAGGATGACACCGGAGAGGTAAGGGAGGGCGTTGGGAGAAGTGAAGAGAAGTTCTCGGAGAGCTTGGCGGTTGGACTCGATGTTCTCGACGTTGATGCTGGATAGGCGCTTGCCAATGGTGCCTGTGCTCTCATCTGCTGCCAATATGCCCTTGCCTGGGGTGGCAATGTACTTGGCATTCTTTATGAGCTCCTCTGCACAAAATCAAAAGGGCTTGAGTATCATTCGAACTTCTTAGTTTTACAAGTTAAAGTATGACTGCAATGAGTTATATATGCCTAAATGTTCTTTTAAGGAAATTGTCTTTTTTTTTCTTTTGAAAATTTTCTTGGTCAATGACCTAAATTGTTTTGAACGCAGTGCTTATCAGGACTCACGTCCACAAGACGAACTCATTTGCAACTGGTTATGTAAGAAGTACTTATGCTCACAAGCATTTCATTGAAGAAGTGCTTATTTTCCTCAGTCAATGACCTAAATGGTTTCCAACACATTGCTTACCATGAATTAAGTCTACTAGACTCCTCATTTGATACTGTTTCCGTAAGTACTTATGCTCACAAACTTTTTATTAAAATGTGCTTGTATTATAGACTTATGTAACTTTTCTTTTCTAAAAAGTGTTTCTTGAAAAGTATTTCGATCCAAAAGTGCTTTTTAAAAGCAGCCGTAAACAAGTTCGTCATGACTATAGTTGCATGAGAGGGAAACATGCATATGTTACCCAACAATACCATATGTATTTAGGAAAATCATATTTAGAGAGAGAGAGAGAGAGAGAGAGAGAGAGAGAGAGAGAGGGAGGGAGGGAGAAAGTACCAGCATACTTGCCAACAAAGGCTGACATGGTTGAGGATTTAGGATAGGTATCGGATAACACTGGACGAAAGTGCAAAAACAAACTTACACACCCAACAATCTATATAGACAAGCTCCGGCGGAATATGCCATCAGAAATCCACCATGGCACTTACCGACACGTGTCAAAAGGTTAGCCCAAGGAAAGTTATCAGCCTAGGATAGAGCAACGAGTGATCACTCTCCTTGCCAAGTGGCAACTCATCCTTAGGCAAAAGTTTGTGTGGAAGGCCTAATGATCCTCATCCTAACTACTCAGAAGTTGAAGAGACAACCAAAGGAAGATTTTGGATTATACTAACCAATGATGTGTGCCTATCCATTTCAGTTTTCTGTTTTCGGTTCATTATTAGTAAATGGAATGCAAAGGACAGTCACCCGATTGTTAGCGGTAATGTATGCATCTCGATTAATTTCACATATATTAACAGCTGACAAGCAATCAAAATCATTAGTTGAAACGACATCATGTCTCGCAACTAGTCACTTTCATAACAGCTGGCCTTAGGTACATGTCTTCCAAGGAATTCTTGGTTACGAGTGTATACCACACCTCTCTCACATCCTTCACAATTCTCATCGCGTGACGAGTTATCTTGAGAGGGGTATACCCCGCTGTATGCAAGAGTATGCAAAAATGAGGAACGACGAGAAGAAAATTGCGAAGCAACAAAAAAGATATTATCATCATGCCGGTAAATGTCCTGGTTCATAATACATATCATGGGGAGGGTCATTCATTTGCCCGTAAATCGTTTCCCCTTGAAGCCATACAAATGCAAAGTGAAGTTCAAAAGGGAACTTGACTATCTAGGCACACACTCACTGCCTGCTAGGACAACTAGCGGTCCAACCCTTTCAACGGCATCGTCACTTTATAAAGACCATCATTTGCGAAAGAAATTCCCTATAAGCCAAATAGTTTGAAAACAAAATTACCAAAGACTTGAAGGATGATAATTCGGTTTCATGAAGTCAAAATTTTTTCAACACTGAAATGTAGAACCCAGCAGCATTGCCGAAAATAACTCGAGTTGATCAAAGGGTTGGACCAACTAGCAGTTTTCATTGGAACTACACTGATGAAGGAGCTACCACTTGTTGATCGTCATCATCAGTTCCAAAATATCGGTCCCCAAACTCACCCATGCCAGGTACTACACGAAAATCTTTGTTCAGACCAGTTTCAATCTCAGATGTCACAATCTTTATTCTGGGGAAGCGTTTGCAGACCACGTGCACACCTTGAGGTGCCTGGCCAATTGATATGAAACATCATTAGGAGTAATAGTCAGAGGGTAGTCCAAAATCAAACTACGAGTCAGAGGAACCTGAAGCACGTTAGAGAGCCGTTAACTTACAGATATGAGATTGAGAAATATAATGTTGGACTCTGGGACGCCCTTCTCTAAAATTAGAGAAATAGCTTGAACAGCCGAGTTCCCTAAAGACAAAGGTATAATCGTATAATAGCCAATAATTCAACACAATTTTAAAAAGAACCACTTTTGACAGTCATTTCTTTTCTATGTTACCGTAGTTGATTAAGAAGAACCAGCAAGTCCAAAGTCCAAACAATAACGATATATTATCAGAAAAAAAACGAACCTGTGCCTAGGATAGGATCCAACAGTAATACATGCCTCTCTGAAATGTCGTTGGGTAGTTTTTCATAAATTAGCTGTTCAGACAATAAAGCAATAAGAAAAAAAAATCAGGGGTAACAGAAATGCAGACATGCAAATGCATGCGGTGGAACCAACACGAGGGATGGGAGTGAGAGAGAAAGAGGTGTGAACCTGCTGACCATTGTCTCCTTCTCTATGAATAAGAATCTTTCCAATCTTGATACCTTTACAACATGCTCGCAAAGCATTCTCCATACTCTCGCCACTGGCAATAGGAGAATGTTAATCAAACCATGAAAACGTATAGCAATTCATTTTATTTTATTTTTGACATAAATGGGGGTTCGAGACTTGGGAGCAGCCTCTCCATAAATGGGGGTAAGGCTAGCCGACATTCACCTCTCCCAGACCCTGCGTAAAGCGGGAGCCTTGTGCACTGGGTACGACCTTTTTTTGACATAAAATCAAACTCAACAGGAGATACGACATTTGTACATGATGATTACAAGAGCATATGGTTCATAAAGACGAGGTTGGGTTTCGATTCAGATCTACTTAATGCCTCTAACTATCTATAATCATCATTTGTTTTCACAAGAATGCATTTGAGCAAAACCGTTTGTTCATGAGTAAAGAAAGCCAAACTAAATAGAAACATAGGAGAGTATATTTTTTCTACCCAGAAAAACCAAATGCCTTATAAGGAACGGATGTACCTCCTGATGATAGACACACCGCACAACCTCTTACAAAAATCCACACCGATATACACAGACCCTGCATTCAGACCAAAGGAACGTTGAAGAAAAGGATTGACCAAAATCAAATATGGGAAAACGGTATTATGATAAGATGCGCAAATGAACATCATCTTACCAGTTGGAGTGATCACCTGCTTTTCGGTAAATGGTAGATGTCCCAGGCCATGTTCAACAACCTATTCAAGATTAAGCACTTATGATGAGTGGTTTAAACAGATAATAATTGGCCCTATTTCACTAATGATCTTAAAACCATCAAATCATCCCCTTGACTCGAAGAATCAAATACCCACCAAACGAATCAACCGGTCTGAATAGAAAACAAAATCATGCTTTGTTGTTTGAGAATCACGTATGAGAGTATGCATACCCCGTATCTGCATGAGACCAGCAACAATAATTGGTGAGCCAAAAAAATTAAACATACAAATACATATTGAAGCTTGAATGAAAATATAAAGGATGGGCACCTGAAAGGTTGAGTGTATGACATATAGATTGGGATATATTTTACAAAGGTCATGTTGACCAAGCTTAGTACGAATATGTTGTACAATCAAATCAACAGCTATGTGATTATCTCCGCCGCGAGGAATAATGATATCAGCATACTTCTTTGTTGGAAGAATGAAGTCATCAAAAGCCGGCTTAACAAACTTTGAGTACTGCATTAAAATGATAAGCACCATCAGAGAAAAGGCACCATAAAATAAGTACGCTGTAATCATTAAATTGGTTGCCTAAATCACGTGATCATGGGGAACAAAGGTAAGAAGAGGTAATAGAGACGAAAGAAGAAACCCTTAACACCGTGAGTAAAATAGTTCGAAGAATGGTTTGAGTACAATAGGGTAGAAAAAATTATCGAATTTATTCAAGAGTATACCACTTATCTTGAATTCCTTTCTACAAGTACTGAGCACTAACAATCTACAAGAAGAGAATTCTAACAATTATTTTCACTGAGAAAAAATAGTCACATACACTATTTTATGAATTCACAGCATGAAATGAACTCTACATATAAGCTCGGAAAACCAACATAAATCTAATAACAACGAAATGGAAAGTTGCAAACCTGATCAAGAACTTGACCAATATCCCTTCCCTTCTCAACTGTATCACGCCTTATCCTCCTAGCCAACCGAACATCAGCATCTGCACTGAAAATTTTACAATGTGAAGTGGTCTAAATTTAGTAACAATATGACGTGACATATACCGTTCTACTTATAACAGTAGCTTAAAAAATAAACTATTACGAACAATTGATTTCAATGTAGGATCAGAAGATATTAAACGAAAAGCAATAAAACCATGCAACGACAGAGACCCCATACCCCGGCTGATCAAGTTAAAAAATTTAACATGAAAGCCAAATCGTAGAAATTAGATGAATATACTAGAACTTGAAACAAAGAAACTTTTCAGAAAGTGAGACTATGAGAGTCGTTTGTGGTGACATAAGCTTTGATAGCGCACTATATCATCGAAAGGCAAAGAAAAATTATCAGTTCGAAAGGAAGAAGTAGGTAAAAAGAAAAATGACCTGTATCAACAAAAATCTTCATATTCATCAACTCTCGTACACGAGGATCATGGAAAGCAAGAATGCCTTCCAAGATGATGACATCTGAAGGGTTTACCTGTTAAGGATGATAAGATAGATAAGCATTTCAGTCCATCAGAGAATTACACAAGATACATGAAAATGAGAATATGTAGACATGTGTTTTGATATAATTCCAAAAACTATCCCTTCGCAAGAATACGGCCTCAAAACAACAGGTAACTAGATGTTGGACAATATGCCTAATAGATACTGCAGATTTCAAAACTTACCCGTCTAGCTGGACACACACTATTTTTGTAACTTTTGAAATCATAGTTTGGAATATCTACTGCTTGCCCATGCTTCAACTTGTCCATTGAAGATAACAGTTTCTCGGTGTCAAATGCATCTGATGATACCCAAATACTATGAATTAAAATTTGAAACACAGCCAGCATAAAACAGAGCCAACTAGCACGCATTATAAAGTACTTTGAAGAAAAAGTTAGGAAAGAACTGAACAAATTAAATGTCACAAAATAATTTTAAATTTCTATAATCCAACCATGTGCGAAGCACTAAAGATAAACTACACAGAACCAACTTGTTGAGTTACTCAGAAAATAAGAGCATGACATTACTACTGTCTGGTTACCATTTTTGGTGTCTCAAACTGTAGCAACGTGGAATTTTTTGATAGATTGCACACGTTTCATTTTAAAATCATGACATTTTCATATAGATATTTGTCCATTTACATTCCCTTAAATTTGAAGTTGCAGTATTGCCCTCACCAGGATGGTCAAAGTTGTATTCATGTACACGTTTAAGTTCCTCCTCAGTCAGATTATGATAAAAGGAATCCTGTAATAATATCATCCATGATATATAAGATACTAACTTGGAAAAATGGTAAAATTCTCAGTCGTGAAATACAGGAGAACCAAATAATAAAAAAGACATGCAAAGAATATGTAACAAGTAACAACTACCCTAATAGATCACAAAATTCTACACTTGAACAAGGAATATTACCTGATTAACAAGAACAACACGCTGATCATGAAGCTGTTGTATAATCATATCACAAACTGTAGTCTTACCAGAAGCTGCCCCACCAGCAACACCTGTGACAATATGTACGAAATGATGGATCATTTGAAAGCAGAATTAAAGAAAGTAGCTACCATGCCTGCTTAGAAACAACAACGAAATAACCAAACCGTAAATCTATACTTACCAATAACAAAGGGCTGTTTATGCATGTTTCCATGTGCTGATGTTGTTGGTTGCTCCACCTTGGATCTTTGTTCTAAGCCATCCATGTGAAATCCAGAAAAATGAACCCCTGAGGAGGCCTCTATCATATCCACAACTGAATTCGAGCCCATGTTCATAGACCTACATAGAAAGAGGTAAGGAAAAGGTTTATAAGGTCATGAAATAGAAAGCAGCATTCAACTCTACTTTGGCACTAAAACTTAAATTGATTAAGCCAAGCTTGTGTTAAATTCAGGTACAGGTAGCTGTTAGTTATTTCAGAAGAGCGGATCTATTATTTTTCTTGTATAGGTAAAGTACTCTGAAGTGAATTTATAGCTCCCCGAGGTATCAAATTAAACCGTTTATACTATGCAATCCATTCTAGATTAATCACGATATTAAGTAAAGTTGTAAAATGATGATATTAAATTTTAAGAAAAGTAGTAAATTTTAAGACGATGTTACTAATATGCAAGTAAAGTTTTAAACTTTAACATGCTAGAACGACCAAACAAATGAGATACTTATGAAACCAAACAATATTGGATCAATGTCGTATATTGCGCATATCTAATCATAACACTTGAAAAGCTATTAACTAAGCTAAAAATTACTGATCAAACCTCAAAACGAATAACAACAATACGAATACAATAAAAGAATACCACGATCGTGCGGACTACACACTCCTTTTTTGTTCCATGCACCATTCATCTTCAAAACAACAATAATCACGAAACCAACAGATTCCCAACCACAATGGCATCGAAAAAGCAGATTCGATTGCACAAAATCACAACGGCAGCAACAAAACTAGCTAAAAATACTCACTCCCTAATCATTGCATTTCCACATTTCACACTTCCAACACACACAAGCACAAAGCTTTTCATGCAAAAAATGAAATTGAAGCAATCATCTTCCGCCGAAAGCATCGAAAACAGCAATTGATCGAAAATTTCAATTCAGAGATCCAATGTGCATATCGAAAGATTCAAACTTTAATCCACCAATTAAAACCTCCCCATCAAACAATCAAAATTTAACCATAAAATACAAATAAAAATTCGAAAATTTTAGATTCAGTAGCAAAATATCAACCGAGGAACCTGCCAATGCGATACCTGGTGAACTCCGCCGAGATTTCTACAGAGAGAGAGAGAAAGATATTCGAACGAACGCAAGCAATTTCAAAGAAATTCCAGAGAGAGAGAATGATTCAGACCGATCCCAATGGGTTTAAATAGTGGGAGCCGGCGAGCGAGACGTCGCACCGAAGTTAAAGTTGTTTAAATTACGGAAATGGTCCTGGGTTTGGTGGGTATTACGGTTGTGCCATCGACTTTGCTATTTTACTCTCTGATATTTTTGGGTTCGTACGGTCCACAGATTGGATCCACCTCGATATTGAGCTGTCCTGCCTGATCCATCGTGGCACTGAATCAGAAGCGGGACCCACGTCCTTTAAAAATGTCTACGAGGTGAGAGACATTATTGCATGTGTTTCACAACACGATTTTTACGGTGCACAGCAAATTAGGATATTTCTCGGATCGTCTGTCGGGTTGAATGAGTTGAAGAATATCAACGAACAAAAATTAATAAGATGTATGTGACAGGAAAAAAGTGTATATCTGAATAATACCATCGTTATTTTTAACATAAATAATTCTCTCATGTTGATATATAACTCTCTTTTTTTTTTGTTAAGCATCAAACGCAAAATTAATCGGTAATAGTGGAGATTGACAAGGATTTTTTTAATCATTTATACTCTCAATAATAACGTCTTGATACGCGAAATGATGATTTTTTTTGTCAACGCAAAAGATATTTTCCATTTTCAAATTTTTAAAACCGATATAGAAAAAGGCAGCGATGTGTTCTGTGAGGAAATCTTCTTGGAGAAACTCTCAGTTTTAATTCTCTAAAACTTCTCTACAAAAACCGTTTTCGTGTTCAACTAACAAACCCTAAGAAAAATAGGAATTTTCCTTGAATCTATGTGAGTTTCCTACTGTAATACAATAGTTGGTAAAAGTAAATTGTGGAAAAATCAGTTAGCTTTTGAATAATAAAGTACATTATGTTTGGATGAGGGAAATAAATTTGAAATTTGGATAAAAGTCAAAATTTATAAATTAACATGCACTAATTCCTTTGTTTGGATTCATAAACATAAAAATTTAGAATTTCCGTATGGAACAAAAAAACTTAGAATTTGAGACCTCAAACTCCCAAGTTTAAATTTCATGTCAATATGTGTCATTTCCCAATTTCTATGATTGAGAGTTTAAAAATAAAAAATTCTATATTCAATTCCGTTGTTCTTTTAGGCTAACCGAACAAGAAAATTCATAAATTCTAGAGAATAAAATCTCGTCATTTCAATTTCCGTCATTTTAAAATTTCTTAATAATCTTAAATTTCTTTATCCAAACATAGTGTTACAGAAAAAAGAATATGCTTGAAGTTCTTATCACCTTTATCCATTTGAAGATAAAGATTGATAGAGTTTTGGTTCCTGAAAAAAGAGAGCGATAAGGAGTTTTCAATACCCGTGTTCTTCTCTCATACTTTTGGCTCACCGATGCAATTAGATTCTGAACTTTTGCTTCCAAGGAAAAGGACTGGCAGACGTCTTCTTTCGTTTTAAATTTCTAAATCTTATCCAAGACTCTAATAATGGAAGGTGAATTCTTATCTGTACGTGGAAACTTTTTGCACGCATGGATCACTTGATTGCTAGGGTACAGGTAAGGTGCACCACTCTCGAGTGTACTAGCAGTCTCACACACATTTTATGCATGTAGCACAATAAACGTTATGCATGCACATATCGGAGAGAAAAATATAAAGGACAAAATATATTTTAGGGATATTTTGGATGTGGTTCCTAATTACCGATGTTTTTTTATTGAAATCTTTATGGTTTTTTGTTTTTGATCTAAGTCTCTGATATTAATATAATAATGTATTTCTATATATGCTATTATATTTTTAACTTAAAAATGAAATTTGTAGTTATTTATATTAATAAGATTTAAAATAAAACCCCATAATTTATGGGATTAAAAATATTAAAGATAAATTATACTCTCCAATATATGCGTGTGTATATATATATATATTGTCACATCCTGGCCCGGACCCCAACCACATTCCGGACACGACTTCACCGTAGCACGATATTGTCGGCTTTGGGCCCCGACCACGCCTTCACGGTTTTGTTTCTGAAAACTCACACGAGAACTTCACAGTGGGTCACCCATCTTGGGATTGCTCTCGTGCGAACTCGCTTAACTTCGGAGTTCCTACGGAACCAGAAACCAGTGAGCTCCCAAAAGGCCTTGTGCTAGGTAAAGATACGAATATACATATAAGGCTTAGAGGATCCACTCCTCTGGGCGATGTGGGATGTTACAATCCACCCCCCTTAGGGGCCCGATGTCCTCGTCAGCACTCTTCCGACCAGGGATTGGCTCTAATACCAAATTGTCACATCCCGGTCCGGGCCCCAACCACATCTTGGGCACGACTCCACCGTAGCATGATATTGTACGCTTTGGGCCCAGACCATGCCCTCACGATTTTGTTTATGGGAACTCACACGAGAACTTCCTAGTGGGCCACCCATCTTGGGATTGCTCTCGTGCGAATTCACTAAACTTCGGAGTTCCTACGGAACCCGAAGCCATTGAGCTTCCAAAAGGCCTCTTGCTAGGTAAAGATGGGAATATACATATAAAGCTTAGAGGATCCACTCCTCTTTTGGGATATTACATATATACACATGGGTACGTTCATAAAAAATTAACCAAAAAATTATTGTACCAAAACATGAGTACATTTAAAAAAAAAGATATTAGGCTTAATAACATTATTATGTTTCTTTTATTAAACTTGACATACATACATTCTCAAATTAACAAAATAAAATATACCCATATAAGTTTAAAAATGGATTAAAGAAAAGATTGAATGAATTTTATATAATAAAAAAATGGGTACATTTTATATTAAAAAGGGTACATTTGTCATATGACAAATGGGTATATTAAAAAAATGGGAACATATCAATTTTTTATAAAAATTTAATGGGTACAAACTTGTTCTAATTTTATTTTTTTATATTTTAGAAATGTTTGAATTGAAAGTTAATTAGGAATTTAATAAGGGTATGAGTATTAAAATTCTAAATCAATTACAAATTTTTATTATAAAAAATCTGTAACTTACATGTAATCCATTAATATATTAATGATAAGGACTTTGATCAAAATCTAAAAACTAATAAGGTCTTAATCAATAAATATTAGAAACTAGAGACATGATACTAAATTTTCCTATATTTTATATACGTTGAACCTTATGCAGGCTAGCACACCCCGACCCAGATTGTCCACTAGGACTCCGAATCAAGTTGTATTGGTCGACACCTGGAAGGTGACAAAGTCATAAAGTGTGATGATGTGTAAAATATGAATAAATTTAAACCTAAAAGTGCCCAAGTACACGAGTGCACGGTGAACGGGTATGGACCCATTTCGCACGTGATTATAGAGCATAAGTAAAGTACAGTAAAGTAAAATAAGGATTATACTATCATAGGAAGCCACCTGTAGTGGGATATGCCAAGAATCCTTGTCGATACAGAAACTTTGCTACTAGAACCTGGAAGAGCACAAAACAGAAAACGTGAGTGGGCAAAAACAAAGCTTTTGAAAACATATTTCTCTTTCTGAACATAATAACCCTTCACCGTAAAACCCGTATAATTTCCCAAAAACTAGCATACGTACATATACAGAAACCATACTCTAAATAATGAAATCCATATATATACCATGTCAAGTACCTCAACATAATAATTAAGTAAACCAGGTGAAGTAAATCAATATAAAGTGATATGTTAGCCGGATCCACCTAAAGTGGCCTGTACGGCTGAACCTATAGCTCATTAAGTATGCCTGCACACGAGTCGGAACCACCTAGTGTGATCTGTACAACAGGGCTAGGTGTAATAAGTACGCTCAAGTGCTATGATCACGTGAAGACTGTGCGATAAACGGGTCACCTACGAGTTGGAACCACCTATTGTGGTTTGTACGACAAGGTTGTGCACCAAACTTGGATCCAAGGGCAGCATACGGTGCGGGAGGTGAACATCACGTGAATGACTGTGCCCTGGCCACGGGCGGGAGCACTAACACCGGGGTGCAGGTTAATGAGCTCTAAATGCATCTCTAAATGCATCTATGTATAACCATTATAACGCACCTCACAATCATCAACACATATACTCACCTGGAACTTACCTGAGTATCCGCAGCGTCAAATACTAACATATATAACTACTAAAGCATATTCTAAATTATAAAGCATTTGACATGGCATCTAAAACGCAAAATCATTTAAATCAATTTTTTTTCTGGGAAAAACGTAAGGCATATATATATTGAAAACCAAAAACCCACTCACCTGGAGTTCGCGCTATAACTCCCTAGCACACACATCAAGGCGTCACGAACAATCGGCACCTAGAACAATTATCAAATCATGTCTTGGAAATCTTATTGACAAAATATGTAACTTACATAAAACACATCCTTATGTAATTCGAATCTGAAGATCCGCATCACGGATTTCCGATCCCTTACTTCCAAAGATCCACATTATGCTTATAGAACAACATCCTAAAGTTTCATTATGATCCGACATACGGATCTTCCTGAATTGGATTTGTAAGTTTATAAAATAAAACGTTAACCGCCACTTGAATCTGCAATTGGCGGAGATTTGGTATCAGAGCCAATCCCTAGCCGGAAGTGTGCTGACGAGGACGTCGGGCCCCTAAGGGGGTGGATTGTAACATCCCACATCGCCCAAAGGAGTGGATCATGTAAGCCTTATATGTATATTCTCATCTCTACCTAGCATGAGGCATTTTGGGAACTCACTGACTTCGGGTTCGATCAGAACTCCAAAGTTAAGCGAGTTCGCGCGAGAGCAATCTCATGATGGGTGACCTACTGGGAAGTTCTCGTGTGAGTTCTCAGAAACAAAACCGTTAGGGCGTGGTCGGGGCTCAAAGCGGACAATATCGTGCTACGGTGGAGTCAAACCCGGGATGTAGTGGGGGCTCAGGCTGGGATGTGACACAGACACTCATAACAAAATTACGTCACATTTGAGATATAAACTCATCACAAATATATATATATATATATTTTTTTGCTAGATTATACACTCACAC